CCTTCTAACAATCCCTCCCATCACCCCCTGGAGGATCCACGATTGCCATCCCAGGTCGCAACCCCTAAAGGGAGTTCGGTGCATCGGGTTTGCCCGCGCCTGAGGAAAGGAGGAGCTGACTGCCTACGGACTATATCAAATCATGATGGTGGATCTACTTCGTCTGGTGGTTCGCGGGAGTTGGAGGATAAGAAGGCGGGTGATTCTCTGGATGGTCCTATTTATGAGGATCAACAGCATATCACGGAATTGGATGGTGATCAATCGACTGAGGATCCTCTCCCGTTTGAGATTAAGCGAAGGTCACCAGGTGGTGTCTCCATGGAGACTCGACAAGTCTTGACCGAGCGAGTTCATCAAGTGGTGGAGGCTTTTGAGGCAGGTATGGTCTATGATCGGGAGGAGGGTATGTCTTGCAAGGGGCCTCGCTCGAACCTCAATGAGTATGGGGTCTAATCTGATGGACCCAACTGTGGAGACTCGGAAGCGCATGCTTGATGAGCTGGTTAGGGATGTGGGTGATCCCCCTACCCTGAAGAAGCGATTTGTGGAATCAACTGATGTTCTTGAGAAGGTGGAGGAAGCCAGCCTCGAGTGGCCCACAGCCGATAAATGAGGCTTATGGCCTGGAATGTGAGAGGAATTGGGCCATCCCTCACATTCCAAACGGTTGTAGGGCTTGTTCATTCTAATAAACCAGATCTCGTGTTTTTTTCGGAAACGCAATTGAGCCGGCGTGTAGTGTCCCGTCGCATGCGGGGTAAGGTTTTGCTATTTCTCATTGTTTCTTTGTAGATGCAGTTGATGCATCGGGTGGTTTAGTAGTTGTTTGGTCCCCCGGGGTTGACACTTCAGTGTTGTTTCATTCTAGTTTTTATATTTGTTCTCAAATTAATGAAGGAGACTTTTCGTATGTGGTGATCTTTGTCTACATTAGTTGTAATGTTGCTTTAAGAGCTACTCAACTGGCTTAGTTGCGCGAAGTTTGCGCGACTTTAAATCACCTGTATGTGATCATAGGTGATTTCAACACTACTCTCCATGAGGGTGAAAAAGATGGGGGTCGGGCGTGGAATGCTGCTCAGGCCATAAGTCTCCGGGAATTTGTTCATGATTTGGGTCTTCATGACCTTGGTTACCAAGGGGATCAATTCACTTAGACGAACAAGCGTATGGGTGCAGCGTGCATTCATGAACGTCTAGATAGGGAGCTTTGTTCCCAATCCTGGATTGATACTTATCCGGAGACTCTGGTCAAACACTTTACGGACCAGGGTTCGGATCATCGTGCCCTTCTCCTCGCTGATAAACCGTATATTCGGAGTAGCCGACCTCTGTTTCGATTTGATGCTCGCTGGGCGGATAATCCAGAGGTAAGGGCTATGGTCCACTATGTCTGGCAGGAGGAGATCCAAGGTACCCCTATGTTTCGACTTTGGGAGCGCCTTAAGAAACTTCGTCATCTGCTTTATGACTGGAGCAGAGCGGGCACTACGAATTCCCTGCGTAATATTAAGATGCTCCAGGCATAAATTGACAGGATAAAGTTGATCCATCCGGTGAACTGGGATATGATCAAGGACCTGGAAGCGGAGCTGTCCCGACAGTGGGAAGAGGAGGAGATATATTGGCAGCAGAAATCCAGGATTCGATGGTTAAAAAAAGGAGATCAAAATTTGGCCTATTTTCATACGGTCACTCTCGCTCGTCAAAAAATGAACTTTGTTTCTGGACTCCGTAATGATGAGGGTGAATGGGTCACTAAGGAAAGAGGGAAGGCTACTATTGCCACCGACTTTTAGCAGACTCTGTTCACCTCGGAGGCCCACGTTCCTAATATGGCTGATAGGGTGGCGACTCTTCCCATTGCTCGGAGTGTTACTTCGGAGATGAGCGCGCAGTTGACGACTGAGTTTTTGCCTAAGGAGTTTCGGCAAACGGTCTTTTCACAGGGAAGTTCTTCAAAGCATTCTGGGATATTGTGGGGACTTTGGTGATTGAAGCAGTTTGTTCATTCTTTGTGACCAACAGGATGGTGTAGAGCTTTAATCATACATGGTTCACATGGAAAAGGCCTATGATAGAGTCGAATGGCCCTTCCTTTTGGCGGTTTTGGATAAAATGGGTTTTAACTCTGTTTGGCAATGATTGGTTCATGAATGTCTTCGATCCTCGTCATTTTCGGTCCTAATGAATGGTACACCCTCGGGGTACTTCACTTCCTCTCGGGGGCTCCGACAAGGGGATCCACTCTCGCCTCTCTTGTTTGTGTTGTGCACGAAGGGGTTTGCGGCCCTCCTCCGGAAGGCGATCTTGGAAAAGAAGCTGAAAGGGGTGAAAGTGGCTCCACGTGCCCCCAGAATCTCTCATCTGTTCTTCGCAGATGACTCTTATTTATTCCTGCGAGGTTCTCTTCAGGAGTGCGAGAATTTAATTGAAGTTGTGAATGAATATGAGGAGCTGAGTGGCCAACGGGTTAATCTGGAGAAATCTGCGGTGTGCTTTAGCCAAAATATTTCCCTGCCAGATCAGGATTTCTTGGCCATGATCCTAGGGTTTGGTGCAGTGGGGTCCATGATAAATATCCGGGGTTACCCACGCTGGTTGCCAGGTCCAAAATGGCTACGTTCAGATATCTGGAGGAGAAACTACTAGAGTGACTTCAGGGGTGGAATCAACGGACGTTGTCCTGGGCGGCTAAGGAAACATTGATTAAATCCATAGTGTTGGCCTTACCCTTACATATTATGTCATGCTTCCGGCTTCCCCTCTCTCTTTGTCGACTTCTAGATAGACATGTGGCCCCCTTCTGGTGGGGTGCTGAAGAGGGCCATCCCAAGGTTAGATGGGTATCCTAGCGTAATATGTGCAGGAGTAAACATGAAGGGGGGATGGGATTTCTCCAGTTTGAACATTTCACCCAAGCTCTCTTAGCTAGGATTGGCTGGCATATTCTCACTGAACCTCATTCCCTCCTTGCTCAGGTATATAGAGGGAAGTACTTCCCTCGTGGGTCATTTTTGAGTGCGACGGCTAGATCTCGGCCCTCATGGGGGTGGCAGACTATCCTCCATGGGGGACAGTTGTTAGAGATGGGTTTACGATGGCAGGTTGGCAATGGCCAATCGGCCTCTGTTCTCCACTCTAACTGGATTCCTGGGTACCAGCTGGGACAGGAGGAGGGGTGGGTGGCGATCTTCGGCTAGTTGGATAAGCCAAGTTGGATCAGGGTGTGGGAAGCTAAGCTCCCTCCGAAGCTTAAGGTCTTTGTCTGGAAAATTCTTAATCGGGCTCTACCAACTACGGAGGCGCTTATTGAGAGGAAGGTTACTGTGCTGCCCCTGTGTCCAATTTGTTGGGATAGCCCAGAGACGATGGAACATCTGTTTCTTTATTGTCCGGTTGCGCGGGCTCTCTGGGACTATTCAAGGCTGGAATACTTGGGGGAGGGTTTGCCTTGGCACACCTTTCCATTGTTCCTCAAACGTCTGTTGGCGCTGATCCATCAACCGTCATTGGTTATGGCTGTTGTTGCCATCCTTTGTCGGATTTGGCGGTATCGTAATTGGGTTGTCTTTGAAGGAAAACAGTTTGGGATCCCTGCGCTCATGCGACAAATTAACCAACAGTATGAGGAATGTGTGGGCTTGCCAACAGATCGGGCGCCTGGGGTTCCATGTTCGTTGGTTCAACCAGCGCTTCAAGTGGGTGATTTGGGTGATTCGCGGTTAGTTTGCATGTGGGATGGGGCCACTAGGAGTGGGTCGCATTCGGCTGGTGGGATGGTTATTTTAGACTCGGAGCGGACGCTACTTCTGGCAAAAGGGGTTCAGTTTCCTCAAATGGATGAGCCTGCAGTGGTGGAATTGCTTGTGCTTTGGGAGGCTATTATTTGGTGTTTGGAGTGTGGCTTGTCGGAGGTCCGGTTCAAGGGGATGCGAAGGTGATTATTGATAAGATTAATCATGTTGACACAAGGGATAACCGATTGGGTGCTGTCCTGGAAGAGATAGGTCATTATTTTCGAGCCCAGCCTGGGTTTAGTGTGCGCTTTGTACGTCGGGAAAACAATAGGGTAGCTCATTCGGAGCTAGGAAAGCCCTCTCTTTGTATCCGACTATATGTCGCTTATTTTTCCGGCCTGGCTGGTTTCCATGATGTAACTATCTTTTATTTTTTTATCAATATATGATATCTTTTGACAAAAAATGGCGCATTTCTCCATAAAACATGAATTCACCAATATAGACTGTGTGGTGCTCACACTTGTGCGCGAGCCCTTGAAGTTTAAGTCTGGTACGACCCATGAAGCATTCATGCTTGTACATGGCTGATCCATATACACTTTCTTCATGGTATGCTCTAACTGTGTCGTGCTATCTCGACCATGTGCCTATGTATAGTTATATGCATTATAATAATTAAATTTCTACATATTAACAACACCAAGATAAAAAAAAATCATAAATGCACCCAGTATTCGATTTTGACTACTTGATGAAGTACTACATTTGAATAAACTACAACTGATGTCACAAATAATAATTACACTTCTAAATCATACATAAAATATTTTAAACATTACAAATATTAAGATTAAATTAAGTATTATTAAGAGTAAAAATTGTATAATGACGTTAATTATAACTCATTTATATGTTAATCTGTAAATTGATCAACACATCTGATCCAACACTGAAGAAATGAACATCACATTAAACTCTATATCGTCTCATTATTTTCGGGTCCATTCATGGCCGATTAGCAAGAGTTTAACGTTTAGCAGTTAACCAGGCTAAAATTTTAGAGAACCAGTCACCTATAGTTTGTACAAAATATTATTGTTTTGTATTAGTTCTGAAAATTCATATTGATTCAAAAAATTCTACATCGCTTTTGCATATTCAATAGTGCAGTTTGATATGCAATATTTCAAACAATGAAATTTGTATTGCAATTTTAAGATTACCCGTCATTTTATAGGTTATAAAAATTATAAATCACGTATTAAACTTTTCTTTTCATAATATTTAATAGGGTAGCTATCCGTGAAAAGTCCTCTGTTTTTCAAATCTTCGCTTAGTGTTTGTTTACAATTTAGGCAAAATACATTTGTATAGCCAAAACTTTGATGGTTTAGCCAAATATAGCCACTTTTGCCGAAATACCAAAAATGGACACTTTCGTCCAATTCTTTGACGGTGTGAGTTAATGTGCTGACTAGACTAACTGAAAAACTGACATGTCAACCTTTTAGTCAATAAAAATATGAGGTGGAATTAACTGGAAAAAAAAATTTAAAAAAATATTTCTCTCTCCTCTTGGTTCTTTCTCCTTTCGTTCCCCCAGCTGCCCCTCATCTTCATTGCGCTCTCCCTCTCTCCATCGAAAATCCCCCTCTTCGCGATTCCCCTTCCTGCCGACGCATCCCTCCTCACTAGGGTTCCACCGACGCTCTCGTCCATCACTAGCTGCTGAAGGTCCCCATGGAACCGACGTTTTGAAGGAGCTGCCAGCAAAAAATCCCTCTGCGAAAAATGTCAATTCAAAAAATCAATTCCAACCCTAGAATCCCCCCTTTTGAATCGGTAGCGGTGCTGGTCCTCTCTTGTTCTAACCATCTTTGCATCAGGGGACAATGACATCAACTTTGGTGGCGCAATGAAGTGGCGGCGGGGCAGAGTAATGGTGGAGACGCAACGGTGGCCTGGCGGTGTTGCTTTGTGAATCGATAAGTGAGGATATGCTAGAGATTGCTTCCTTCAGCTGTAAGAGGCGACGGAACCGCCGTTGTGTAGCCCTAGCTCTAAACATGTGGAGTTTAATTGGAAGAACCGCCTTCCAGAATCTCAGAGGAGAACGTAAGTGGAGAAGGAGAGAGTGGTTGGGGTGGTGTTATTGGGGAAAAGGAGAAGGTAATTGGAGAAGGAGAGTGGTTGGGGTGGTGTTATTGGGAAAAAGGAAGGAGGAAGTTTGGACGGGGAAATTAATTAGGGATTTTGATTTTTGTGGCCGGCGACAGAGGATTTGGAAGATGGGAAGTTTGGACGACGGGCAGTGGGAGGGGAGAGAGAAGAAGAGACGGAGGAAGAAGATGATATTTAATTTTTTAAAACTAAAATATTACGTGTAATCTATGTGGCAAATATTATTGAGTTGTCGATGATGTGTTCGATGAGTTGGCAGCCAGGTAAGCATTTTGTTAATTGGATTAACGGTGTTAGTAACACCGTTAAAATATGTAACGGAAATGGCTATGTATGTCATGAAACTTTTAAACTTCTGGTTATATTTGGTATTTCGCCAAAAGTGGCTATTATTGTCACATACGTGAAAATTTTGGCTACACAAATGAAGTTTGCTTACAATTTATGAAGATAAAATAAATTTGTTTATTGTAATTGGTTGTGATTATTGTTTTTTGTTTGAAGAGACCGTGGTGCAAATCTTGATATTGATACTTTTTCATATGAAGTAGATAATAATTGTGATGACAAAAATACTCTTCCTACTTTCGCTCTCGCTTCCCGAAATTTGATATAGAAAATCTTAAAACATTGAATATATCTTATAGAAAGAGCTTCTTCAACCAAGTAGGAAAGGTATTTTACCTGAAATTATTATATCTTATAGAAAGTGATTAATTGTGAAATCACAACTCAAGTAACATTGATTCAAACATTAAATACTAAATTGTATGTATGGATGGCAATAGGGCGGGTTTGGTGATATGATCCAAATCCGAAGAGAATCCTCGAACTCGGATTATATGACCAAAGTACGCAGCCTTCCTTCTTTTTAAGGATTTTCGAAGCTTTTCTCCAACTTGAAATAAAAGATAGATGCGGAATCAATCGGACAATCCCAACTCGTGACAAAGGGCAATTGGTATATTAAACCAATCAGACAGAATCAACTCGTGGAAAGGGGCAATTGATATAGGATAGATGCTCGCCACAACTAGACGCGTTCTCTAGTTGATAAGAGACACGTGAAACCTCTGGAGACTCTCGACAGAAGCTTGCACAAACGTTCACAAAGGAACACGAGTAAAAACTCTTAATTGATAACTTGAATATTGGGTACCAAATTCGTAGCTCTTACATCCTCTATTTATAGAGGTCACAAAAACATAAAACTAACCTAAAAGGAATAGGAAAACAAATCCCAAACTAACTAGGTAACTTAATACTACTTTAACAAATAAATAAACTACAAATAAACTCCAAAAATGGCCGGTGCAAGTTTCCTTCTCCGTTACGGAAATGAACTTCCGGTATCTCGTTTTATTATCAAATGCGGACCATTCCTTTCTTCCTTTTCCTTCCACAAAAAGGACAATCCATGAGAAAGCTCAGGTTTGGCATCTAGCTTGAGCTTTACATTCCTTTAATCTGCTCACCAAAATGGTAATGGAATAATGACCACCTTTATCCCATGCCACACGTCCAAATCCATTCTATGCAACGTGAAGAAGTTAACCCAACCTTGTAATTAATTCAGCCAACCATTATTCACGTACTCGAGTTGGCAGCCGCTATAGTGAATTTCGTATTGTTCATCAAGAACGCTCCCAATTGATACTTAAATCGTAGAATGTGAATCTTCATTTTTGGACCGCGGGAATTAAATATCGTGCTAGTCGATATCGCATCATTTGGGGCGGGTTTGTCTAAACCATCCCCATCCCCATCTTCAAATATCCAAACCCATACCCGCCCCATACCCATGCGGGGGGAATGTTTTGCAAACCCATCTCCATACCCGTGGGTTTCGGGTACCCATGGGTAATACCCGTACCCGTACATCCAACATTATTATATCTAAAACTTACAAGAAAAGTTTTAATTATAACTCTAAACAAACCTATAATATCCTGAAGTCAACAAAACACAATCATTTTCTTAATACGGTTCAAAGTATATGATCCTAAAACATCCATTAATACATAATATAGAGTATAATATTTTTCAAATTATTATCTTCTTATTCTGATACATCTACTAAGTAATAGTTAACTAACATAATCTTGTTGACAAGGGGGAAAGTGAAAGAGTGAAAGTAGAATTGAGGGAAATGAATTAGATTTTGATTAAAGTGGTCACTCAATTGCATTTCTACTATTTATTTCCTCGAGTTATCCTCATCACCATTGATAGATTATAATTTAATCCACATATTTTTTTATATGTGAAGAAATTCTCTTGGTGGGGTGGGTATGGGTATGGGGCGGGGGAGGCCAAAACCATACCCGCCCCATACCTATCAAACTTTTTGCGGGCTTTACCCATACCCGCCCCATATCCGGTCAAAGCGGGGATTCCCCGCGTTGACTGGGCCAGGGGCGGTCGAGTACCCGCGGCCATGGGTTTGATTGCCATCCCTAATTGTATGTGTGATTCAGTTTAAACAAAATACATATGTGTAGCCAAAACATGGATCTTTGTGACAAATATAGTAATTTTTTATCACAAATATACACATAATATAAAGATAAATTGGGCACTATGACAAAAAAGAGCTTCCTAGAATCACTCTCAGGCCACGAAATTTTAAATGAGCTCTCATTTTCCAATTTTATCATTATATTATATGTGTAGATTTATCACAAAATATTATTATACTCGTCATAAAGGTCCATGTTTTGTTTATACTTTTGTATTTTGTCTGAACTAAACAACACATACAATGTAGAGCACTTCTACTATGCTATAAAGCAAGGGTGCTTTAATGTACAACTTAAAGTTGTACCATAACGTAAAATGTATAAGTTTGGGTTGTACCATTAAGGAATTTGTACCCTTATGTTTTGGTACAACTTCACAACTTTAAGTTGTACCATCACATAAAGGTACAAGTTCAAGTTGTACCATAAAAGAATTTGTAGATTAGTATAGGTACAAGCTGAAGTTATACCATAACGTTAAAAATACAACTTGAAGTTGTACCATAAAGGCAAAAACCTATAGCACAAATGTTATATAGCATTGTAAAATTTTTCATACAATGTAATATTAATGTTTGAATCAATACTACTTGAGTTCCGATTTCAGAATTATTATCTTTCTATAAAATATAAATGACTTAAGATAAAAATATAAATATAGAAGCATCATCACCATACATATTTATAGAGTTCAATCAATGAAATAACAATAAATAAAATGCAGCCTAGTTGGTTATAATGCTCTTTATTCATTGAAGTAATTGATGTTCGAACTCCAATGATAATAATTTTAATATATAAATTATGAAATGAGTGCAATGACAAAAATAACATTTTTTTAGTATCACTTTCCGGCCACAAAATTTGAAATAAGAGAATGGTTTTCCTTAGATTTGTAGATGGGCCATCATTGGCTAAGAGCGCAAGGAGCAAGTGACGAAAAGTTCTACTGGCCTACCAATCAGTAATGGGCCTTCTCCATTCGTACCATATGTCATCGCTGCCTTGTTTTGAACTCCAGAGTCCAGACCCTTGCCTCCATACCCAAGCCCAACAGCTAAATTCTCTACAATGGATAAATTTCGAAGGATATCCAGTTTCAATACCACAACCCACCAAATAATCTAACTCGAAGTTAGATTTGTACTCCCTCACTGTCACAAACATTACAATAAGTAATGAACTTGTTCTTAATGCTGTATGAGAGCTTTTGGTTGAAAAGTTTATGTTCCAATTCTCGCCATCTTAAATGTCAACAACCGATAGTCCGATACCAATTTCTAGCTTTTGAATCAGATTTTGTTTGAGGAGGATAAAACAGTACAATATAAAATTCATTATCGAGTTTCATTCAAAAAAACTCGAGTTATTAGAATCAACGTAACTACGACCAGCGACAACAATGAATGCCGAAAACGACCTCCAATTTAATACCAGCCGCGGACAAACCAAACCCAAAGATAAAAGTAGGCAAGCGAAAACGAAAGTGATCGAGTAGCATGCACATGCAAGTGTGTGTGTTTCACATTTGCAGTCAGCCAAAACCACACCGAACCTTTATAACTTCCCACATTTATGAAGTAGCAGTAGTTGCAACTTTGGGGGAGTGGCACTGTTGTGGCAAAACGGTGGTTAGCCCTATTTATGAACGTTAGTTCCTTCCACCATTAATGTCCATACAAAGGAAGAGTTGCAGAAGCTTCGTCGACGCCACTGTCTTTGGATGGTTCTTCCGTTTCCATGGCGGAACGATGGCACACGTATACCTAACTCTAAACTCCCAAAGTTGCAGTACTAGCACTAGGGTTTAGTGGGACGTTTTGTAAAAGCGTGTTTAAGTTGTAGCTATCAAAATCAAATCCATCAAGCTAGCCTGCTAAGTGCTAACTGGTTAGTTTACAACCTGGCTTGGGCCCCTAGGGTTATCCTGAACCCTCGAGAGAAATTTCACGCCAACAAATTTTTTTTAAAGGGCTGGACCATATACTATTGGTTCAGATCCAAGCCGAATTAACCACCATATTGGACCTAGGTCGTAATCGTCATTCCCATCATTGTCACACTTTCCTATCACGGCATGAATTTTAAAATACGTAAAAAGAAGAAATTGACATGGATGTGAGATGAAATAAAGAGAGTCGACGGATTTTTTAACACGATGCAAAATACGTGACAATTACTCAATTCATTCTTCATTTATGGTCAACTTAATTTGTCCCCTTATTAGGAGATAGAAAATTAGGTATTCACTTTTTCGAACAAAATTCTACATTTCTCTTTCAGTTACATGAGAGTGAGACTTCTAAAATATTTCCTAAAATGCAAGTACTTTGTGGATTAAACTCTTATTTAAGTTATTTCAAAACTCTTTATGTTTGCTCTATACCCTTTTGACATTGTAAAATTACGTGCTTATTCAGTTTCGTGGTTAAAATGATTTGGTACATGTATTAGCGAATAAATTTGAAAGCCTAATTAGCTAGCCCTGTTTCCTTGCTTTTCATTTTGAAATAAAAATAACCTCTTTGTTTTTTTTTTTTTTTCTTTTTTTCTGTCCAAGCAAACAGAGTTGATTATCGATCGTCCTTCTTGTAGCTTCAAAGGAGAACATGGAAGTTCAATTCAACAGAAGAAAGAAGGGGGGGATTGGAAGACAGTTGTACAATAATAGTTAGGACACTCCCTCCCACCGGCCACCAGACATAAGTTTTCGGCCTTTCAGAAGGTACGAATCCGTAAGGTCCTTTTAATTGTTAGGGCTAGTATTTTTCAAAGATGCCTGCGTTTGTCACCGGC